TAGGGAGTGAAGAATTGATATATATTTATTATTTAAATTAATTAAAATATATATGTTATTTTTGAAAGCTAAGCAAATAATTATTATTTAGATACCTAAAATAAATAGTTAAATACAATCAATTTGTTCTACATATTAATAATTATAATGAGAATTAATTAGTAAAAACTACCTATAGAATTATTTCTCACAGAAAATTAAAATTAAAGAAATTTCAACAAATAATTTACATTATATTTTTCATGAAATTTTACCTTTTCAATATTGTACTTTTCCAGTGCTTGGGTAGCACAATCAACAGCATCTTGCTGCATCTCTTCAGACATATCAGCGTTTTTAATCACTGCTTTGCGATCAGACATCTTCAGTATGAATTAGAAATCAACTGGAAAAATATTAAAGATTCAGAAGTCATAAAAATTGTCAAAACGATGTGATTTTTATTATATTTTTTAGTTACAACAAAAATTAGTTAACAAAATCGAATTGGTTATTAAGAACGTTAAACAATACATTACCTGTAAACGAAAAATTCAAGGAACTAATAGTTGCTTTCGAGCTAATTTGATGCGCTAAATCCAACACCTAAATATTACACAGTTTGGATACAATAACTCCCAAATTCCGCCGATAAAATGAATGTCGGAAAAATAATGTTAACAACTCTGTTTGAGCAGAAATCTAGGCTCTCATTGGCCGGGAAACGGCGGTTTCTATCAGCCTTTCTACTATCGTCGAACCATCGACCCAGCGAATCGATAAAGTTTTTTATCTTCCATGACGCCTCCAAAAAGCAAAATCACCATTCTTCTATGTAATATCAGCTATTATTATTATTATGGAACTCATGACAAAAAACACTAATTTCAAGTTAGTACTTGGTAACATGTATTATTTGTAACGATTTTTTTGTAAAATTAGCACGAAATAAGTAGATATTAGGCCAGTTGACTGTAGAGTGTAGAGTAGTTATCCATTTTTATATTAAATGCAATTATACAAATTTAAATTAGTKAACTTATATTTATGTCTACTATACATAATTAATCTAATGTTTGTTTATAKTTATCTCGTAGAAGGATTAAATCATTCATAAGATGTAAATTATGGCAATAAATCCATTGGTACTTTTACTGGCAAATAAAATATCCAACAAAAAGAAATTGAATATCCGTGGATTTCAAGTCATTTTAACGACATAATATTATAAAGAATGTACGATAATTAATATTCCCTATTGATGTTAAAATTATCACTCCCCTGTATGGACGTAATATACAGTGTATATAACATATACGTTGACGTTACTCTACAGTCTACTGTATTGTTTTTATCGATTAAACAAAGATGACGCATTATCTACATTCCAAAGTTAAAACAATAATTTTAATTATATTTTTTGAAGATAAAAACGTAAATGCCCCAATGAGAATGGGTATTGGGTAATCCAGCAGGCTAGTCGAAACGTTGAACGATTAAAATATCGAAGGCGATTACGCGCGCCTACGTAATATCACTGTAAACATCGATGTTAAAATATCGCCGACGATCGATGTCGATGACTTATTGACTTCTCGAATAGTCGAGTACTCGAGTAGTCGAGTGTAATAAYTATATAGATAATATTATATTAATTAAAATTGAAGTCTAAAGTCTGTGTGTAAAATATAATAAATTATTGTTTGTTGTACTCATAACTGATACTATTGTCTATTATGCTTATAAACCATAGTGAATTGCCATTGTTGCTGCGTAACTGTTTTCGGGAAATTCACTCAATTTATTAGCCAGCTTGCCAGCTTGGCTTTCTCAACATAATCTCTATAAGCGCAGCTCGCCGCGCACGCTCACTTACGCATCGCCAACGCCAAGTGCCGACTGCTGCAGTGCTGAGATATTGTTAACGTTAAGTGTCAATATTCTCTATCGTCTTCATACAGGCGTTATAATTATTTTTAAAGTCGTTTATTACACTAATACATTCAACCGCGTTTAACCGATACCGGTACTTTTTTTTATCTATTAAATCGTACAAGATATACCTCAGCCTGCTCGGGAAAATGTCCAACAACGACTGTAGAATTTACGTGGGAAACCTGCCGCCTGACATACGCACGAAAGACATACAAGATTTGTTCTACAAATTTGGTAAAGTGTTGTTTGTCGATTTGAAAAATCAGAGAGGTCCACCTTTTGCCTTTGTCGAATTCGACGATCCTAGGTAATATTTCATTGAACGAATTAAAATATTTATGCTACAACGAATTATGTACGTTTATTATTGTTATCATGAACACACATTTGAATCACTCTACTATGTAAAAATGATGGTGTATTTCCACTTGTATCATTATTATTGTATTTAATTCAAAACAAATAAGTACCTATTAGTTATTTTCATGTTTCAAATTTCATGTTTTCAGTTTTTATAGTTATTGTGCTTGTAGTGTATCATTTCATAATGCTTTGGATTTTAAATGAAATACAATAATTTTGTCTAACAAATTTCTGTATTAAATTCTTAAGTCAAGAATTAAGCTTATCTACTTACTTATTCTTGCTACTTATTTATATTTCATCTTGTATGTAGGTACCTTTAACTTTCAGAAAATGAGTCAATTTTTTATGATATTAAAGACGTATCAAGAGATTTGATTGTATAGATCGGTTCAGGCCTCACTTTTTTTTGAAAAAAATGTATTGATAAAGCATAATACGATAAGAATTTTGAAAACATGTTCAATTTAATATCATAACAAATTTAAATTTTTTTACACAATTGATCATTTTTACTACTTTTTAGAAATTAATTTGCCCAATAAGTACATTTTTATGTTTAATTCCTCCTGCACTCCTTACCTTTTGAACTAATTAACTTACTGGGTATATAATTTATACGATGCTGCTCTCATATGTGGACTACCCAATGCATGTGGTCTACCTTCATAAATGTAGACCGCATATTGTAGCAGAAAATAAATAAAAATAAGTATACGTAAACACATACATCCACTAAAAGATAAAATAAAATTGGTCATAAAATTTTCTGATATATGTCATATCTTGTATTTTCCAACCATGTTAATTGCTATTAAAAGATAAAATTGTTGATATACCTAACTTACCTACAATAACTGTGCAATATTATAACGAATTTAATAAGTCTATTAACTAGTTACRTATTGGTCGTCGATTATGTTCTACTTTGTTCATATTTTGTGTCCGTTTTGTATATTGTGTGCATTATGCAACTAAAAAATTCTTATTTCACTGTCGCAGAGAGTGAAGAGTATGCCACTGCGTTTTTAAGGGAGCATGGTTTATTAGATACTGTCAAAGAATCATTGCTATGATGTCATATGAAAATATAAACATGGCGTATTACAATATAATGCGATCTACGTCTTACAAGGTAGATCGCATACGTGAATAGAAATATGTTGGTAGTCTGCATATAAAAGTAGCACCGTTTATACTGGTCTATTTTTATTTGGAATCGAGTTTGGAATGGTATACATACATAATATTATAGTTAGTACTACCAATGTTTGGTTTTGTGCTTTGTTATGGATGATTATAACTACAGCTTTTAAGGATTATTGAAAAGTAAATTGTAAAGACTATTATAAGTACCTGATATTATTTTGATAATTTTTAATTGTTCTTATTTATGAATTTTAATATTTTAATTAGAGATGCAGAAGATGCAGTCCATGCTAGAGATGGTTATGATTATGATGGCTACAGATTACGTGTAGAGTTTCCACGTGGAAATGGTCCACATAGAAGTGGTGGTGGTGGCAGTAGTAGTGGTGGTGGAAGTTACAATAGAGGAGGTGCTAGTGGTGGAAGTGGAAGAAGCCGGGGTCCTCCAGCTAGGCGCTCTCAGTATAGAGTACTTGTTACTGGTAAGTTTTTAATTTTGATTTATTACACAAGTTATCCTCTGAAATTATAATGTCATTAAATTTTCTCTAAATATATTGAATATTTAAAGTAAAAAAACCTGAAAATATTATTATCAAGTATTCCTTAGCATTTAATGATGATGTTACACAACTATTTTCAATTTATTATTTATTTTGCAAAATAAAACTGCAAACCTTTATTAATTTTTCTTGAATTTGATAGTACTTTTATAATATTAATACTGAGTTGMATGAACAATCATTAAACATTGAATCAATAGTGAAATAACAGTTTCTTAAATAAGTTAAAATGACCCATTATGTAATTGGTTTACAGTTCATTAAACCATTAAATTGTTCATGAATTTAAAAATCCAAAATATCCAAAAAAAATTACCCAATGATAACAAAAATAAAATTTTCAACAAATTATTAACTATTATTTATTATATATATGTAATACAAAAAACCTAAATAATTATTTTKGAATGAATACCAATTCAAAATTTCAAAATGTAATTAAATTTTTTTTAAATAGGTATTCAAATTGTATGCAAAAGTAAAAGAAACATGCAATTCATAGTCATTTTTACAAAATATGCAAAATTTGAAAATTGATTGTAGGTTACATATTATAAAACAGGGGTGACCACAATGAGGTTTGCGAGCCTCATGCGGCTTCCAAGTGAGTCTAGTGTGGCTCTTGACACCAAACTTAGAGTAAAATTAATTCATAAAATATATAAAGCACTTCTCAATAGTAAAACTCCTAAAATCCCATTTCTTAATGTATACCCGCCCAAAAAATAATGCTCTGTGTAGTGTAAAAAAACAAATTTTCCTCTATCTGCTATAAAATTAAAAATGTGTTTTTATTTTATAAACATACTTACCTATCTTGACAATTTGACTTATTTCGAAATAGCTTCATATATTTGCAGCTCCTAAAATTAGATTAGTGGCCACCCCTGTTATAATATTCACATTTTTATTCAAAATTATTCTGAGTGAAATGTAGAAAAATAACCATTTGCATAAAATCTTGGCCGCCTTACTTGTTGAGTTACATTATTTATTAATTTTAAAATATGTTATGTAAACATTTAGGATTACCTGCGTCAGGAAGTTGGCAAGATTTAAAAGATCATATGCGTGAAGCAGGAGATGTGTGTTATGCAGATGTATACAAAGATGGATCTGGTGTAGTTGAGTTTTTACGTTATGACGATATGAAATATGCTGTTCGTAAGCTTGATGACTCAAGATTCAGGTCTCACGAGGTTTGTTCAATAATTATTGCTTTAACTATTTTCATATGTTTGGTGAAGTAAAATACTCTGACCATGATTTATATCTTAATACGTTTGCCACAGATCATAATTCGATTAACATATAAATGTTATCCAAAAATATTTTAATTTTACCTTGGTGGATGATCTTCGTGGACATTGTAACAGTACCCCAAAATGTGCAGAAAATCTATTTGTTTTTATTTTTTGTGTGTCACACTATTGACATATGACTTGCAATTTGCATACATATTAATTAATATTTATAGGTAGCTCTGTTGAAAAAATAAATATTTAATTGTAATGCTGACTGAATTTGTGTCATCCACAGTGAACATGTTCAAAAAATAAAACACTAATTGTATTGATTTTTTATTATAATAAATAGAGTATTCAGTGGCATAGCCAGGATTACGAACAAGGCAAAGGGAATAAAGTATAAATTAAACTAAGTTTTTTATGTAATAATATAATAGCATATTTTTTAAATGAAAAATAAGGTCAATAATGGGCCCCAAAATTATTGGGTGGGAGTATTATATTTATGAATTTAGTTGATACAAATTTATTCTGTAGAATATCTCATATGTTTAAATACATAAATAAATAAATATTGTTTTATAATTTTGTTTTTGATTAGGGTGAAGTAACATATATTAGAGTAAAAGATGATTATGGTGGTGGAAGCAGTCGTCGCAGTCGTGATTATAATAGTCGCAGTCGTAGTCGCTCAGCTAGCTATTCACCTAGAGATCGTGGAACACCAACATATTCACCTGTTAGAAAAAGTCGTAGTTATTCAAGATCTCGTTCCCGTTCATAATATTGAGGATAACCAAATGGTAAAGCATGCTACACTACATAATTGACCCTCATTCCATTATTATAGTGTTTTTTATTTTTATTTTTATTTTTTTTTATTAGAAACATTTTTTTTTTTTTTTTTGATATATTTTAATACGAGGGTTAAACTAAGTTATAAGTGTTTTGTCATTTTTTATTACACTAATATTGTAGCTGATTATAACTGGATTGAAAATTTGACACAAATAAAGGACACATAGCATTAATTACAAAGGATATATAATTGATTTTATTTGCCACCTATTGTCGTCAAAATTGGAAAATGTATGCTCATCAAATGGATTAAAATTAGAAAATGTTATTTTACCATGAAAAACAAAGTGGACCATTATTATGAGTTACTAACTTCTTTTAAGGAGAATAAGACATATGGTAACTATTGTGGATAATAACATTTGTATTATTTGTTATTTACTGAATTATATGGAATTGGTTATTTTTGTCTCACATGATGGATGCTAAGTGCATGAATGTTAAGGAAATTACCTTACTTAGGAATACAGTGCATACAACACACATTTGAGATATTCTATTTAAAAATCTGGATTTTGGATCTTTCAATTCCAAATTCATCTTTTTATACTAATTATCATGAATCATGATAATGGTACACGTAGGAATATAACCACTAACTATGCAATATCTTTAAAAGGATGGATGATGTTAAGTACAATATATCAGTTTTATGAATTAAAATCATTACTCAAATGGACTTTCTGCCCTGGATCTTTTGTTAAAAACTGTTGAAAACGAAGACATCCAGAATATACGTTATTCATGTAGGATACAAACGTAGGATTTATAATTTTTTTTTGAACTGCCAAACATGGAATTATTTTAATCTTGATGGATATTCATTATTCATTGGATGGATCGGGATTTGGAACATCTTTTTTTTTTGGACGTCCAAGATCTAGGAAGTATAACTATCGGGGCGGAGCATTATAGTTAAAATGGATTGTTTTGAACCTACATAAGTAATGGATTACAAATGGACTTATTAAGAGGAGAATAATGGACCATAGGACAAAAAGACATTATTATGGATTGATTATGTGCTGAAAAATATAAAATAGTCATATTTTTTATTGAACTATCTGTTAAGAAATCTAACCATAATAAAATAGTTATGTTTGTTACATAAAACTATATTTAGTAATAATATACAAAACTGGTTTTATTTTTAAAATACCAAAATTGCTAGAATTTAAAAAAATTAACATTTCAACATACCTATATGAAGTACTTATCAGAAAAATATGTACCACTACTTATAAACTTTAATCACTGTACTTGCATTGTGCTTTGATATGAAAATAAGAGCATATTGGTATAAGTTAAAATATTTAATTTATAATTTTCTGGTTTTCTTAATTATAAATAGGATAATATTGTACCCACATAGTGTGGTCTCCTACTTACTAATGCATAACAATATAACATATTACATTTTACTAATATTTTAAAACAGATTTTATGGAAGTGCAATCCACTAATAAAATAAATTCGATGAAATATTAATTATAAATACTCATTAGTTATGATTTATGAAATAGTAAAATTCTTATGAAAAATTAATAGATTTAGAAATAATAATTTAAAACAAAAATGTTTGAGAATAAGAACCTATTAATATTTTATTGAGATTAATTGCATTTCTTGTATATTAAAAAAATTAAAACTTATTTTTACTTATAAGCACCAGTAATTGGCTCTGAATAAAATTAATCAATTAAATTCACTATATTATTTTATTATAATAAGGTGACCATTTTTATAAAAAAAAAAGAGGGGACAAACAGGTTTAGGTAGTTGCATTTATTTAGGTAAAAAAAAACTCAATCATTTTTTAATAAATTTTATATTTTACAATTTAAATATTGTTGGATAAGCTTAATGAAGTTATTCAAAATCTGATTTTTGGAATCTTGATATAAACTCTGACCATATTTTCAAATTATTGAGATTGTTGTACCACGAGTAATGCCCTGTGGCCGTACAAACTTTTGTTTTTCAAATTAGAAACCTAATTTATTATTGTAAATCTCTGGTGGATTTGAAAATATTAGTCATTAAGACTAATCTATCGACGTTAATAATTTATAAAAACGACCAAGTATTATAAATACAAGTTCCAATAGTGCATGTATTTTATACTTTTGTAAAACAATTTTCAAGGATTATTATCCTTAATTCAAACACGTTAATAACTGGAAACTACTCGTTCAAATTTTGATTTTGATACATCAATATTCTCAAAAAAGTTATCCGCTAAATAATTTACATCATAAAAGGAGGATTCTCATTTGAAAAACAAAAGTTTGTATCGCCATAGGATACTCATTAAGTGGTCCAAAAATCTCAAGAATTTGAAAATACAGTCTGTGTATATTTAAATATTCTAAAAATCAGATTTTGAATAACTTCATTATTAAAGAAAAAAAGGGGTGAGCATGATTGGTGAATCACTCTGTATATAATAATACATTTAAATGAATAATTATTACAATTACAAGTAAAACATATTTTGTTAAATTTAGAAGAGCAGTTATAACAATATAAACCTCTGTTTCATAGAATAAACATTATTTTACAACTATTTTGGGTAAGTTTTGTTATATTTTATATGTTAAAAAAATATAAAAAATATGTATTTTTTTAGGTATGTAAATAAAAATTTATAAAACATTTATTGGTGATTACGCAATTGGTTTTATTATTTTAACTGATAATATTAGATTGGTGTTTAACATATATTATAATAAATGTTTTGCAAAGAAAGAATAAAGTGAAATAAAATTTAAATATTTAAATTAAAACAATTAAAAAAATATTTATTCTGGTTATAATTATGTATGTTTAATATTCATTTATAATCTAATCATTTGGTTGATTGTAGTGTTATCTATTAAAGGATTAATTCATATTAGATTTACAACATCATTAAACATTACATAAAATATGTTTATTTGGTTCTCGTCTATATTATGTAAGTATTATGTAAGTATGTTTTAAATAATGAAATGTGTTATAGTTTTTAAATAAAACATTTTTATGCTATTTTTTTTATACATCAATGTCAAAATGTATTAAAATCAATTAATTAATTTATTATTTATGTAAGTAAAATTACTATTGTAACAGAATAAGTTTTAATTTTGTATAATATTATTTTATAACTTATTATTTATATACAATTGCTCTCAACAATTCAAAATTGAAGTGGAAAAAAACAAAAACTTAACTATAAAAATGTTGATTCAAAAAAAATTCCAAAAGTTTGACAGTTTGAAGAAATTATTTTTATATTAAATTTAATAAATCAAATTTGACTTATTGTAAGGCAATTGTATTATTATATTATTTTAATAGTCTGATTAAGTTGTATACAATATTTAAATTCAGAATTATTTTATTTTTCAGTTAACAGATATACAACAATTTACTCTATGTCAATAATATTTCTATTAAAACCATTGTAATAGATAATGAAAATTTAGAGTTTAATGTACCAAGTACAACTGAATATTTGTTTTTTTATGATACCAGAACTCTCAAGTGAAAAAAAAAATATATTGAATATGTTCTTATTGAGTAATTAATTATAAATGCAATTGCTTATAGTTAAATCTATTTTGTTTCTTTAGACTTCCTGTATCAAATCAATGGAAAACAATTTTCTGATGATAAAAATGTATTGCTTACTATACTGGACAACATCTTTACCCTCTTGTTAAAAATCAGTGGACAGAAAACAGAATTCATTAACTATGTTATTCACAAAATCACTGTACAGCAATCTGATCAATACATCGTACATTTTATTGGTATTTTTCTTTTTTAAACATATTTTGCATGACCCAATCATTTTGAAACCTTTTTTTGGTAAATATAACTTATATAATATTATTGAATAATATTGAATACTATATAGTCGCACAATTCCATTTATTTATCAGTAATTTACTTAATCCAAACATGTATGATCTTGTGTATTTATTACATTAAAAGAACGSTATACCCGCATGTGTTGTCTCTGTCTTACAAGTGCGTAACATGGCAAATTTTACACTCAGAAGATCTCGTTTAGCTCGGTGAGTTTAATATTTTAAATGAATTAACCTCTTATAAAAATTAAAGGTAACATTATTATCAAGAGCTTCTACCTTTAATTTTTATAAAAGGTAAATTAGCTTAAAATATTAAACTCACCGAGCTAAACGAGATCTACTGAGTGTAAAATTTGTTATGTTACGCACTTGTAAGACAGAGACAACACATGCGGGTATAGCGTCCTCTTAATACAATAAATACAGTCAATTCTCAATTTATGAGATGTAACATGAATAATTTAAAGAKTGTAATTCTAATGATTCAAATGAAAGAAATGACTGCAGAAGTGAATTGAGAAATTATAGATACTGCAGTTACCTTAAATTATATTTTTACTACTGTCTACAAAACTATTATTCCATTTTACTTTTACTTTTTATTGTTAACATTAATTTGACATGACATTTAGACTTTAGTAATAAGAATTTTTGGCACATAATGTGTACCTACCGTTAGACTACCAAAAGGTCCGAAACATAAAAAGTCCGATATAGGTACGTCATATAATTAGGTAAAAGGAAAAATGAATACTTAATTTAATTAAGAAATAATTTTAATATATAATTATATTTTATTTGTATGATTAATTATTTTGATTGTTTTATATTTATTTACCTATATATTATAATTATTATCATTGATTTTTTTTGATAATATAATATTATACCGAACTTTTTTATCTCGGACTTTTTAGGCTTAGGACTTTTTTTCCGCGATTCGTACCTACCATGTCTTCTTTACTCTAACTTTTCTTCCATTTCAAATTTCCCTATTATTAACCTATAAATATGCAAATATAAAACCCTCAACACTTATTAGTTATTATTATTTATTCATATTGTTGCCTTAACCTTAAGTTCTCCTTTTCTGTCATGAATTCTGACATAAGGCATTACTTACGACTAACCTAAAATAATGTTCACCTTTTTAATACTATTTTATTTTATTTTCAGCTAATATTACTTATGACTACCACACAGATAAGCTTACAAGAAGCTTCAAATAATATTTATACTCTTAGATTTTATTTGTTATGTTGACTTTTTTATTTATAAATTATTTATTTTTAAATAAAACTATATTTTATGAAATGTTTTATTATTCTTTCTTTTAAAAATATCTTTATTAATATCAAAATTATATTGTTTTAAGTTTTCAAGGGAAACGAGAGTTGGGTCCCGAGACATTTGATCCCTTTAAGAAAAACACGAGTTGGGTCCGCGGTAATAGCCTTCCACCGGAACTGAATATATTGTATATTATTTTAATAAAGCGTTTTAATAATTACTATCACTATTGTATAGATGTGGCCTATAACTACTTTCTAGTAAATACTAAATAGTAATAATGTAGTATGTACTATAATAATAAGTTTTATGCTTACAACAGTAAAGTTTAACTTTGTTAATGTTTATACAAACCAAAATACTCGTTCAATTTATGACTTATGAATATTATGACTTGAAAAAARAATTAATAWAATTTTTTACTGAGTCAAGTTTATTTTATTTTATATCTTAACTTTAATTTTAATTTATTTTAGTTWATTATTTTCATTAACTTGCCCACCTTTGCATAAAATATACCGGGACCCAACTAATGTACTCCATAAAGTATACCAGGACCCAACTCGTGCTGTTTTTAAAATCTGAGACCCAACTCGAGTTTGTCCGTTTTCAAGTGACAAATGTCATTATTGACTAAGTAAACTTGAAGTTGGTACAATATAATACATAACATCTTGATTATTTACCCCACGGGTTGTCAACCTTGGGGGCGCGACAAAATTTCAGGGAGAGGGGCGTGAAAATGTTGAAAAAAAAACACGAAAAATGAAAACGTTGCCGTTTTCTACGCCGTGCATTGCCGGTGTGTTGATCAATAGATATATACCGATACCGAGCGATTATTACGATTTTATAAGATTATGCAAATCATAAATGTATGCTCTTTAGTATTCTGGGTATTAATAGAAGCATTGTTTCGATGAAAAACCACCACTCGACGCGATAAGAACAAGTTTTGGTGACCCGCAAAAAAATATTACGATTACACTAATAGTCTTGTACAACGTTATAAATATTATGCATACTTGCATACATCAATCTTATAGTAGTAAGGGGAGGAGGTGTGAACTCTTAAAATAGTTTGAAAGGGGGCGTGGACCTCAAAAGATTGAGAACCCATGATTTACCCTATACACATAATTTCGAGTTCTTATAAACATCAATTAGACCATCTTACATCCTTCTCTGGTCATTGCTAAAAATCTTATTAGAGACACCTCCAAACAATTCAATAGATTCAACCTAGATTGCTACCTTATTACTGCATGTAGCAATGTATTTTGGTTCCTCCAATCCTCTAAACCCAACTCATAGTATGTTTCCTCTTCTAGTAATATGTCCACATCATTAACATTTCTAGCTTTATGTTCATTCTTAGCCTCCATTCACCAGTAATATAAAAATTCTCCACAATAGGTACTTTTCTTTAAAACATAATGCACTTATTTTTTCCTTAGTGGCCTAGTTTCACATCCACACAAAATAACTAGACGTATGAGTGATGTATTTTTTCATTATTTGTGAAAATCCTTAACTTTAAACCTTCTGTTCTCATAAGCATTTACAAATATAAAAACATTATTAGAGCTATAAAAATATCCATTTTAACATTAAAATTTAAAATTGAGTTTACTATTAAATTATAATCAAGCAGAATGGGTAGAATAGGTTAACCTAACTTAACCTAGAACAGATCTTTCAGTGCTCTTTGGTCTTCCAACACACATTGAAATTTCCACATACCTATGCATAGAGCATACAATGTGTTATTTTCCTATATATAGCTAATCAACAACAATGTAATTAAAAATGAATTATACTAAGGTACAAGTGTACTTTCAAACACAAATTGTTCTGAGAATGGATCAACKAGGGGGTCCGGCACTCAAACAAAAATACTATTTAATATTTTGCTCAAATATTTTCAAATTTATAATAGAATATACATTACTGGTCCTAGACCATTATTATCACTGTTAATTGTTTTGTTTTAGATTTAATGAAGTTTCATATTTATTACTAAAATAATAGTTGATAAAACTTGCTCGAGCAAGATTTTTCCTAATTATAGGTTTAAAAATTAATTGTTTGGTAATCATTATTTGCATACCAATGTGAATGTTTATAATATATTAAAATTAACACGGAACACCATATTCAAGATTTACATAAAAAATGATCAGGTTCAAAATCCAAACCAATTTCCCTCTTGTAATCGGAAGTCTTAAGAACACAAAATCAAGACAACTTTAAAAAAATAATTTTTAATAACTATACTAATAAACCACAGAAGTAAAATATAGTAGAAAATAAAATTATAATCTTATACAACTTCATACTAATGGATAGTATACAAAATAATAATAGAAGGAACATAACATTAAATTTAAATTTAAAAAAAAAATACTTATCTATATAGTTAATACATTTTATAATACCCTAATTCAGAGATATTCAAAACACACATACAACTTTCAAAATATTTATCATGGTGTTTAAAATTAAAATTTGATTTTAAAATTTAATTGTTTTAATATAATTGAAAAACTGTAAAATTAATTTACAATACAAGTTTCTGATTTTGATGTACAAGAGAAAAAGGTCAAATTGTTTTTACAACCATTATTCTATTGACATTAACGATTTTGAATTCATTTTATTGATAGAAATCATAGAATTACAAAACAACAATGTTCATAAGACTGCTTTTAAAGAAAATGTTGACGTTTTTCAAGTTAATGATTCAAATTTTTATAAAATAGATTTTAACCGTAATTTTGTACTGGAAAAATGATTACAGCTTTTGGTAGCAGTTATCTGTAGATATTTTCAATACTTTAATTTCAAAAAAATAAATATTGTTCATGAAAAAGCGACAATCACGTGAATGTACTTTTATAAAGATCAACATCCAATATGAAAGCAGACTCATGACATGATAGTTTCAATTCATAAATATAATAGTAATATATGTTGTAATTGTATTTTTAATAAAGGTTATTTTAATTTTATATGTGAAGCTCAATGAAAAGCTGATAAAAAATATGATCCGTGTTAKTAAAAATGTTGCCATCCCCTGATCACAATTGTTATAGTAATCCAAGATTTTTTAATTTTATATTTTATTTATTAAAATAATATATTAAGCACTATAAAAATAGTATATACTCCCAAATACCTAGCTTAAAATTTAAATTAGTAAATTTATCTGAAATTAAAATTGTAATATATATTTTAGGTATAGTAATTACTTTATAAATTACAATTCATAAAATAATACATTTTTTATAAATTTTTCTACTATATAATAATTTTGTAAGTTAGAAATTTAGAATACTGTTTGGCCCACATCAATACAAAAAATATAAATTATGTCAGTTATAAGTTATAACGATTGAAGTTCTATAGGTAACATAACTTTATTAGTTGCAGCAAATCTTTTAAGCATTTCATATTGTCTGACTGTATTTTCCACTTCAGATCTTATCATGTTATTTGAATGTTGCAGATCATCTAGCTCTTGATATTCTTGAGATTTCTCTGTTTCTAATTCATCTTTTTGTTCAATTCTCTTAATACGGCAACTGTAATGCAAAATAAGTTATTTTTTTTAGAAATGGAATTTCATGGAAGCTTAGTTTTAGTGTGAGACAACTTAATAATAATTTTAGAAATGATACTAAAATTTAAAAACTAGAAACAGACAAATTAGTAAGAATTTATTCAATGTTTTATTGAAGAATGGAACGAAAAGAGTATAGGTTAGGTTATACAAAGTTTAATAACATTACCTAGCAGCATATCCTCGATTTTTCAATGTTCTTCTACGCTGTTTCATGCGTACTATTTGATCTCTAGTCAATCCACGCATCTTCAGTTGACGGTTCAAGTCACGTACGGATATTGTAACCAATTCATCGTCACTTATATCCAAAACAGGACTTGGCGACAATGGGGGTGGCTGTAAACCAATCCATTAAGTAACAAATTTATATTTTTACACATTATTGGAGTGTGAATCGTCTTTGTTAATAAACTCACCAAGTATTCTCTTTTGAGAGGAGACATATTCATTCAAATAGAAATTTATTAGAGCACTGAGATAATTACTTAACAAAATGCAATTTTTTTCAAAAAATKATTGATTTTAGCAGCGAATTATATTAAAAGGTAAATATTATAATACTACTATGAATCGTGATTTTTATAATTGTCAATAATTTAGATTTTTGGTCTAAAGATAATTTTTAGACATACTCATTAATAGCAGGATATTGCGAACTATATCATTATTCATTACCTTTACTGACTTAGTGGCTACAATATTGGTCATTGGTGTAACTAAAATACGCTCTATTCAGTAATCAGTATTTCTAATTGCAAGCAATAAGCATAGACAAGTAGATTGCAAGCAGCACGATTAGATAAGGTTATCTATAATTGTTGTATTAAGCCATTGAACTATATAATAATATTATACATATAGTTCTATGTATTAAGCTCGATTAAAGATATATTTATGATAATATACTCTATTCAGTAAAAACAAAAATAGTAATTACAAAAATCATTAGCTCAATAGTTGTAAGTTCATCACTATAAAAAATTATGACTAAATAGATCTATCTAGTCTTGTAAAAAATATTATTGTCAATATTTATTATTTTCATTAAGAGACGAATAAGACAATAAAAATACGGCTGATGTTCACAACTATCAAGGTGGATGTAAATCCATTATTCACGGCAAAACTTATAAGCTCTTTGTTAACTGATGTTAGTTACAATTATTACCGTAATCCGTTAACTTCATATCGTCACTAACTACAGGTTTATAGTGGGTAGCGCCGTATTGTACTGCCGTGAGGTATGGTGTTCATTTCTTATTTYCATTACTTTTGTCAGGTGTTCTAGTACATGAGTCAATAATCTTACGAAACACGAGTTTAGAAATTTAAAATTCCTAAACAAAAACTTATTAACTATTTACGAAAATTTTTGAAAATTCACCATGTCTGCTATAAGTCTGTTAAATCCTAAAGCGGAATTCGCTCGCGCTGCTCAAGCATTAGCGGTGAACATTTCAGCTGCAAGAGGCATCCAGGATGTGATGAAAACCAATTTAGGACCAAAAGGAACTATGAAAATGTAAGAACCTTAGATTTTAATATTACATTCAATAAATATTATAATTACTGTGAGTTATATGTAGTCTTTTAGATGTTGATCATAGTTTCAGAAGCTATTGTACTCAATAATTGCCTTAGTCAAAAATTATTATAGGTTAATATTTTCCTGATCATGAACTATTTATGGATTTTACGTTAGTGCTTCTTTATTGGCACTACTTATGATTTATATTTATTCTAAAAGCCATAAAATGTTAGGTAATATGTTATGTGTATGTAAAATAACTTTTGTGAGGGTATGTTACAATTTAAAATCTTTCTGAAGACCTAAAACTACCTACACTGGCTAAATATTATTCAAATCTAAATACTCATAMCAATACTTTGATCAAATGAATATTTTCTGTATCTTTTTCTAATAATATAACTAGAAATCTCTAAACAATGGTCTAGAAATCTGTAAAGACACCTTAATGTGCGTGCTAAGCTTAAACCTTCCTTTAAAAAAAATAAACAACTAATTGTTGCAATACTTATTGCTTTGATGTTTAATTCTTAATTTCTCATTTTACATGGGTGTTAAATGATTTTTTTAAAAACTATCCATGAGTTTTAACTATAATGGCCAGTAACTCATTGCTTATTATTTAATCTGTAGTTAAATCGTTATCTATAATTTGTTGCAAATTTTATTAGAATTGTAAATGTTGATAATTTTGGTCCTAAGTATAATTTTTTAACAGAATTTGAAATAATGCAAAATAAAAAAAATGGACATGAAGATGCTTGGTGTAACAATTCTGTTCAATAAACAAAAACTGTTAAATTACAAACTTAAATTTTTTTTTTTTTTTTATTAAAATAGAAAAAATATACAATCTGTATAACATAATACAATAAATAATTTATATAAAATTTTTACCAGTCTGGACGGCTTGAGGGAAGGGAGAGTCCATTGACACTACTTCCAATATGAACTTTGATTAAATTAMATTTTTATTGTACATAATAAATGTATTTATAATATAAATTTTGATTTATTTAGTTAGAAGATCACGTGGCCATTTTCGTTTTAGACGACGGGGAGGGTTGTCAGGTAGAGTTTTAGATTGGCGACTAGAGGATTAGGATGATTTAGGAACTTCAATTAAAAAATGTAATGAATCTAAATTAATTATTGGAATCACAAATAGAGAAATCTTTAATCGTAATTGGAATATACAATTTTTACCTATCTCCTAAACAGGATTTGTTGTACCTTCAATATTTTAACTAGGTATGTAATGACATTATTATTATTTGTTTGTAGGTTAGTTTCCGGAGCTGGAGAAATAAAAATTACTAAAGATGGAAATGTGCTTTTACATGAAATGGTAATATAAATACTTTTGGTCAACCTACATTGCACATTTTAGTTATTATTTATTATTTCAACACCTATTATTATTATTAAGATAATACCTTGCATGTTACATTAATAATGTCTAAAATAATTTTTCAGACTTAAAATGACAGTAAAATATATATTATTTGCTCAATGATTTATTGTCTGTTTTTTGTTTTAATTCTTAGGAAAACTGAAAATTAAACAATGTTAGTTTAATATATTCACAGCCAGTGAGTAAATTAAAATGGCCTAACCTATAATATACTATTACTAAAGAAATTTATTAAAATAAACTGGCCTGTAAATCCCATATTTCCGAAAAACCTATGTAAATACCATTTACCATATTATTGTCTCATATATTATATCTATAAACATTATTAGAAGTGGTAGATTTTGGTTAAATTTATAACCCTCCATGAATTTTTACCTCAGTTTTATCAGTTTTAAAATTGTTTTTTAAACACATAATTATTGGTACTCTAGCAAATTCAACATCCAACAGCTAGTCTTATTGCCAGAGCTTCTACCGCCATGGATGATGCTACTGGTGATGGTACTACTTCAACTGTTCTCATTATTGGTGAACTTTTGAAACAAGCAGAAAACTTAATCTCTGAGGTATGCATTAAAAGTATATAAAGTAAAAAATATTAAATAATTTAAATTTTATTTTAGGGTGTACATCCTAGAGTATTGACAGAAGGCATGATTAAAGCCAGAGATAAGGCATTAGAACTTTTAGAGAAAATTAAAATTGAAGGGAAACCTGATCGCCAAAGATTGTATGATGTTGCTACTACTTCTCTTCGTACTAAAGTTGATAAAAAATTAGCTGATCAAATGGCAGATATATGTGTTGATGCTGTATTAAATGTGCAACGTGAAGATGGAATAGATTTACACATGGTTGAATTAATGGAGATGCAACATAAGACATCTACTGCAACAACTCTTGTTAGAGGTAAATTTATTTTTACTCATCAAAAACCTAAGTCATAAACATAACACTAATAAAATACRTTTTTCATAGGTCTTGTTCTTGATCATGGTTCAAGACATCCTGACATGCCAAGAAAAGTTGAGAACGCTTTCATATTGACTTGTAATGTTAGTATGGAATATGAAAAAAGGTAATAAAAAAAATCATTATTATTAACATAAATAATTTCCTATAAATATTCTCATTCTTAACAGTGAAGTAAATTCTGGGTTCTTTTATAAAACTGCCGAAGAGAGAGAAAAATTGGCAATAGCAGAACGTGATTTTATTGAACAAAGAGTGAAAAAAGTTATTGAGTTAAAACGGAAAGTCTGTCCTCCTGGATCTGGTAAATCATTTGTTGTCATAAATCAAAAGGTAATATATGTATTGATTTAAATTAATTTATATATTATATCTATATTAGTCCAACTTAAATTAGTTTTTCTATACACATTAAAATTATAGGGTATTGATCCATATTCTCTGGACATGTTGGCAAAGGAAGGTATAATTGGTTTAAGGCGTGCCAAGAGGCGTAATATGGAACGTCTATCATTAGCATGTGGTGGATCTGCTGTAAACAGTGTTGATGACTTAACTGAAGATGTGCTTGGTTATGCAGGCTCTGTTTATGAATATGTATTGGTATGTTGTTTTTTGTTGTTTAAGTTATTATATGATCCATAAATTTAAAGTTAATTTAATTTTTGTTAATAATTATATTCAGGGTGAAAATAAGTACACTTTTGTTGAAGATTGCAAAAATCCACTTAGTGTTACCATATTAATAAAAGCTCCTAATAAATATACATTGACTCAGATCAAAGATGCTATTCATGATGGTTTAAGAGCAATCAAGAATTCCATTGACGATGGTGATTATAACTATTTACTTTTTTTTTAATTCAGCATTGTACTTATGAAGTTAAGAGAGTGTGTGTGAAAAATCATTAATTACTACATAAAGCTAGTTATTTTTCATAGGGTAATGAAATAAATTACAATTTTCAATTTACAAAATAAATAGTAAACATGACTGATTAAACCTTACGTATCGACTATTATTTGTATCATTTATTGTAATTAATTTGACAGAAATAAATTAAGAGAAAACTATTCAAAAAGTTTTTACATATCATAACTAACCGTGTGCAGATTTATATGTTGACAACACATTCAAAACAGTTTTGAAGAATAAGTTTTAAGGGATTATTTATTTATTTTTTCATATGTTAGGGATTGTTTTATTAATAATGACAAAAAAAATCTTAGGTATTTTGTTGTCATTTATAAATTATTATTTTTTTTTCATTAATTATTATATATGACAATACAAMTAAGCAAATCTATGTGAATCTCACTAGTTATTCGCCAAAAAATGATTATAATTTATTTTTATTTTGTTCTCTTAAACTTTTGTGTATTAACAACAAAAAATAACATAAGTGTAATCAAAGTTTCATAATTATTTTATTTCCAAGTTTATTTATATATAAGAATCAGAATTTTAAAATAATGTGATCATCATATTTCGATTGTTTTTCTAAAACATCAAAATATATAGGTACTAATGTTATTTTTTCAAAATATTTATTGTGTTGAATTCTGCCATTATTATACTACTATACTATTCCATAAATTCTGAACAGAGGTTGTCACTGAATATTGGCAGTGCTATAACAAAGTAYGACTACTCCACATTTTTATTTGTTTGTTTTGAAATAATTATTAATTATGTACATAATATAAATGATGATAATAAGTATCTGATACTTAAGTTTTATTACAAAATTAAATCTTAAATAAGTAAAAAAACTTTTTAATTTAGTTTATTCCTAAAGCCCCCCCTCCCCCTTAAAATTGCTGGCAGTATAATTATTTAAATCATTGTGATGGTTATTCAAAATTACTAAAATTAAATTACAGGTGCTGTAGTACCAGGTGCTGGTGCTTTTGAAATATATGTTTGGCAAGAACTTCAAAAGTATAAAGACGAAATCAAAGGAAAAAGTCGTTTGGGAATTCAAGCATACGCTGAAGCTTTGTTAATCATACCCAAAACCATTTGTAAGCTTATATTTGTTAAACTTGAGTTGAATAATGTTGATAACTTGTTT